CAATGAATGAAATTGCATTGCTCCGCCTACATTAGTTACTGGCAGGGAACATCTTGAAGATCCAAGAATCATGGCAGCATTTGTAGCGGCATCTGCAAAAATGAGCGCCATTTATAAAACAGCTGGAACCCACAGAAGATGGTTTGCATATCCAGATGCAGAGTCCAGTCGGCCAGTTATGCACATTTTGCCTGTTTTTAGATCTCTCTTAAAAGTTGTATGCTAGCAATGCATTTTCACAATATGCAGACCATAACAATGTCGTGGAAGTATTCTAGTTCCATGAAGCACCTTTAAAAGCCACCTTGTCCTCAATGGGGTGATCACCCCAAGGAGGCATGGCTGGCTTCCAAAGGTAGTGCAATCTCTTCCCTGAGCTCCCTTGGCTCAGATTTTACTCTTGCTTGAACTGAAGGTGAAGTGCTCTCTGGTTCCTTCCTATCCAGTCCACCACCAGTTGTGGTACCTATTGCACACATGCAAAGATATCTGAAGACCACAAAGAGTGGGGATCAGTGTCTAGGCAACCCATTTGCCCACAGATAATGATGTGCAGCACATCCCATACCAGACTGAATATAAAGTTTTTACAAGGGTTCTGAATGCTGCTCAGATACAGGGGCCTTATATCACTCTATATATGCCTCCAGGGCCACGTGTCCCATTGATTTTGCTGAAACTTAAATGTAACCAGTTTGTTCCAGACTGAGCCCACCAGCTTATAGGAAACCATCTTCAAAGGAAAGGTCCTTACCTGTGATGTTTTAGCATTGTCATTTTATATATAAAGACCCCAAATCTGCTAATCATCAGCATCACTTAAAACTTCTACATCTTTTCATAGGCAAATAAATAACTTTAGATTTTTTTGGGGGGGGGGACTTTGGAGTAACAATTGTTAGCTATCAAAATTCTGGATAACCAGAAAACTGGTATTTACTTGCGTTATTGCAGTTTTTTGATGATGCAATGGTTGACCCACATGTTCAAGACAAATGTGATGAGGATAAAATGAACATGCACAGATACTTCCATTTTTGTACGATGTGTAATGGCTGAAGTGGGATCAAGTAACAGGTCAAAAACAGACTTTGTGTAATGGAATAAAAAGCATGCTCCTAAATCTGTTCCTTCCACAATAATAAGCAAATATATTTGCCTATATCAAAGAGAAAGCAGTGCCTTAGAATTATCAAGTTTACACAAAGCCAAGTATGTGAAAGGGAATCTTTTGAGGAAAAAAACTTTATTTGAGAAAGGAATATATAGACTTGTATCAGAAGGCAAAATAGGGAACATACAAACAGAATATATTTACAACACAAAACAAGAGATCACCAAAGGTGTAAATTATAATAAATACAATAGATTTAAAATGTGACAATTAGCAATTAGAAAGATGGTTGCGTAAACCCAGTTTTCCTTTTTCAATGGTTCCAGGTAACTTCTCTCTTTAAAAAAAAATAATGAGTGGCATGAAAGTCCACTGGCTATACTGGGGAAACTCTCCTGAATTCTTTATAAAAATATATTTACAGTTACACATTTTTGAAATATTATTGTACAAAAGTTTGCTTATATCCAGGTATCCGCCCAAATAAAATGTATTTTAAAAGATGCTCTATCCTTTGTTGAGTGGGCTAAGATCAGACTGTGAAAAAGAATGTACAAGATGGGAAAATATATTTTCACAAATGTCTACTTTATGGATCTAAATATCAGATTTCTTACTTTTCTTCAAGAAGGAAGATGATCTCTCTGTTTACATTAAAGCCCTTAAATCTGGAAGTCGGTGTTCATGCATCTTCTAATAAAGCTGATGGAAACATTTTTCGCTGGCCCTCTACTGAAATTAGCATTTTGCTCCTAAACATTGGCATGACATTCTGCACTGCCACCACACACACAAGAAAATGGGCTGCGTGCATTTAAGAGCTTGTCTGAACAGTGGATTTCTATATTTCTGCCTGAGCTATGTTGCACATAAGCAGGATTATGGCATAGGGGCATTTCTTCCTAGACTAATTATCACAGGTACTTTTTAAAATCAGAGGGATATAGTACCAGCTGAGCAACTGACTCAGCTGGACTCCAGGGAATACAAATGTTGGGAAAGTGTACCCAGTTCCCAAAATATGACCTGTCTGGACAACTGCGGTGTAAGGCTGGGCAATATCTGATTTTCAACATTGTGATAGATCACCAGTTAAACATCGCAATATACTGATATATCATGATGTCTGAAATAAGGATGGAGCTATGTAGAAGCATTGGCGGGCTTCATGTTTTTTCCGGCATGGTGATTTTTGCCGGCGCCTGCTCTTGTGATTCGCTGCAGCCTGCAGGAGATAGGGAAGAGCTGAGTTGGCAGAGTTAAGAGGGACAGCAGGAATCGAGAGAAGCATCGGCTGGCTTCATGGTTTCCCCCACATTGTGATTTCTGCCTAGCACACAGACACACACACCATGATTTGCAATATCATTGCTAGGTCACAAATGCAGCTGATATCGCGATATGGACTTCAAACCCGTTTGGGACTATACAGCAATATATCGCCCAACCCTACCGCTGTGTTGAAGCAATATCTTGAAACAGTCAGAATTGCTTCACACAGCACCACATTCTTCCCTTTAGAGTTTCTTCTGTGAAAGTGTGGGGGAGGAATGTACACCACCACATGTGACAAGCACTCACATGTCTGTTTTTCTGTGTGTATACATGACGGAAAGATGCAATGAGCTACTGCTGTCATAAAATGCACAGGGTGTGGAATAGGTGTATACCATGGGTAGGCAAACTAAGGCCCGGGGGATGGATCCGGCCCAAACGCCTTCTAAATCTGGCCCACGGACGGTCTGGGAATCAGTGTGTTTTTACATGAGTAGAATGTGTCCTTTTATTTAAAATGCATCTCTGGGTTAATTGTGGGGCATAGGAATTCGTTCATTTCCCCCACTAAAAAAATATAGTCCCCCCCCAACAAGGTCTGAGGGACAGTGGACCAGCCCCCTGATGAAAAGGTTTGCTGACCCCTGATGTATACACCTGTCACTCAAGACAGTGTGTCTCTTGTGTACACATGTCTTTCTACACTGAAATGATATATTAATAGGAAAATGGTCAACTGTGGCACAAATCATCTTTACTGGTGCAGCAAGCATGAAGGATTTGTTAGCAAGTCTCTTTGTGATACAGAGGTTGCGAGTAGGATAATGTATCTTTGTAGCATTTTATATGGGATTCTAGAAAATAAAAATGTAAACACCACGTGCGTTTATTAGAACAACTTTTCCATTTGGCAAAACAGCGCTCTCTTTTTGAAAAAGATACTGCACCTTAAAATACCTTAGAAATATAAATATTTTAATAAGGGGGGGGACTGACAAGGATTCCAGGTCAGTTTTGGGATTATCCATATTAAAGGGGGCCTTAATACAATGCATCTTTAGCTTAACAAAAGTAAACCTCTACAACAAAGTAAACATATCAAAAGGGAATATAAAGGAAATGTTTCACTGGAAAGCTTCCTTAACAATTTCCCTACTTGCTTTGTTATTTTCTTTGACAATAAATCATTTCATAGAGTGCCCTTTAGAAAACAGAGAATAAAACCCTATCCTCTGCTTCCCTTTGCCCCCTCTCACATTCCTCAGTGCATGAATCACTTGGACTTCCTGTTTCTATAAGGCATTTCCTGTCCACCTTCACACAATTACTTTTCTGCAGGAGAACAGCAGGGACCTGACACAGCAATGGCTTAAGTAAACGGCAGCTTTTGCTACATACTGAGCTGTTCTGATTTTAGAGCATTCAAAAAGACTATGGTCCTTCTGGAGCTGCAACTACCTATAACTGCCTGCGTGCCTTAGTAAATAATACTTACAGTATTATTGAAAAGTATTTGCCAACCTGCTCTGTTTTTAGATATCCTTGGACAAATTTCCCAAGAGAATCAGACCTAGACATTCCCCTGTACTTGACACACGGAGTGGCTGGCCAGGGGTCTGGGTAAACCAAGTACACTAAGGCTCAATGGCTTTCACTGGGCACTCTGGGATGAACAGCTGACATATTTTCCAACTAGGAGAGGAAGGTACTGGGAAAAGTTGGCCCCGAGATGGGTGCTGGAAACACAAATGTGTCCCCCTGCTACTGGTATAAGCATGTAAACCTCCGTGCTAGGCTGTGTGCTATTGTGATACTTAGCTTTTGCTGAATAAATAAATTGGCAATCACCGTCATAATTTGGTTCCTTGCCACCACCATCTCAACACAAATACAGGTATATCATGCATAATGTTGCGCATGAGGAATATCCTCAAAGGAAACAGATGAAGATAGTGATAAAAAGATGGGGCATAAAATTAAGTAGCACAGATAGGGAAAACCAATTTAGTTTTTAAAAGTGCGTTCTATGCTGGTCTTCATTTGCCTTCCAACTCATTTTCTCCAGGTTACATTCTATATACAAAGCTCAGGTCACTGGTATTTGGGCTGGTAGTACCAAGGAAGGGGTAAATCCCCTTCTTTTTAACAGTGTTTAGGACTACAGTATGGTACATTATATACAAATTGACAAAAGTATACATTGAGATGTCAAAGAAGTTTAGAAATGGAGCAAAACCAAAAGAGAAGAGAAATTCCGAGGTCTGATCAGCAGTAGCCTGATCAGAAAGTTCACACAACAATGAGTTCCATTTCACTAGAACTAATGTGGTAGAATCCATTGGAGCGAATACCAATTCTACGAATTACCCAAAAGCTCACACAGCAATAAGAGTTTCCCGATCTAACAAGAACCTTCTCACTATGCTTAAGGTGTGAACATATCTGGCGTTGTTAGATTTGCTGATTGCTAAAAACACGCAATTCAATTGAACCCTGTGGATGGGGGAAGAAAAACACATGTTGTTCACCAAGGATTCAGAAATGCTTATTATAAGAGTATTCAGATAATCACTTTAATTACGAAGCCTGGAGCTAAATCTTTGCCTATTACCTGTTGCACAAAAGCAGCTTTCTCCCCAGATTCCACTTGCTGACTTTGAATATCATCATCACTGTCCCGTGGTTCCTCTTTCACCTTCACAGCCCCTAAAGGCTGCCCCAGTCTGTTGTCCGAAGAAATGCTACTGCTGTCATCCCTAATGCTGCTACCAAGAGAGGGCGCTCTTTCTTCCTGCATCAAATGTTCTCCATGAAGCTCTTCCTCGGCTTCTTCGAGGCTGCCGGGCTGTTTTAACTGTTCAATAGATTTAGAAAGTATCTGAAACAAAGAAAGAGGATTGGGTGGGGGCAGAAAACATAGAAATAAAAGATGAAATAGCTCTGATTCTTTACAGAGGCCCAATATGTAGATATCAGAGAACTTCAACGCACTATTAGTGGAAGTCACAGTGAACTGAAGGATTGCAAAAACAAGAACTCTGAATGGTGTTATGAAGACTGTGTACATTACAAAATTTGTATGCCAAAGAGGTGGTGGGGCAGAAAGACCACAATCTAACCATCCTCAGTTGTCTCCACTTCAGGAAAGAGCAACAGGCAGGCACAGACTACCTCAGAGGCAGCTCCAGGTAAGCTATCCACTTCCCTGTGTGGTCCTCTACCACCAACTGTCATGCTAGGAGGACCTGATGAGATGCAGGGATACTGGAGAAGACCACCCCAGAACCTCCTGTAGCTGAACTATCCTCCCCACCCATAAAAAACAGCATCAGAGCCTTTTACCACCAACTGCACTATGGGTATTTCCAGTATCTGTGTAAATTGATTTATACATTAACGAATTGTGGCTACCTTGAAATGGAGAACCCATTGGTCAGCGATTAAATCAGTGGGCTGGATTGATCAATTAACCCTGTTGGATGCTGTCCACATCACCAATTATATTAATTACTTTCTTCGGTTCAACTATCACTCAAAATACGTTATCTTCATTGACATAGTTACTGATAATAGATATTTCTGCAGCTAATGATGCAAAACAGGGGATCGAGACAACACCCCCTCATTCTATAGCACACAAGCACTCTCCGGTTGCAATCAAAATGGGTGAAGATGACCAAGTATGCAAAGATACCAGCCACTTATATTCAGAATGGGCAAGAGATACTGGCATTGGAAACATCTGTTGCTGAGCCACCAGGAGTGGCTGACTGCTGAATGGGGCTAGCAGAAAAGTACAGGCTGAAACATCTGTGTGACAGATAATCATCTACAGCTATATGAGTCACTGATGCTGGGCCATCTGTAAAACATTCCATATGCCAGTTCCTCGGCATCAGGTGGGTTAGCCTTAAAGAGAATCTGAGAGAGAATGAGATCCAGACTGCCGCCCAGTTAGGAAGCATATTTATTCCCTCACTGTACTCCTTCTGCATGCTTTCAAGTTCAAAGTGGGGATATCTTTCTCTTTTGTGATGCATTATAGCACCATTCCTGCAGACCTGATAAGGCAGATGTTGCAACCCTCGTGTGACATATGGGGTAGTTCATGGAAAGAGCACCCTTGGAGCAACTTTACCATTAATATATTAAACGAATTCCAAGGCTTTTTTGTAAAGTTGTAGAAAAGGAAATGTATGCATACAGGTGCACTGATGTAACTTTTTAAAAACAACAAGTGAGCATGAATGTCCCTGTTTCACAAACGTGACAGCGACATTTTTCCAAGATCATACGGCTGTGAGTCAGTGTGCTGAAATTCAGGTGAGGATCCGGTTAGAGTATCCTAAGTTGAAATTTTAAGACAGCCTTTGAGCTTTCCCAACTGTAACTGAGCACTTCCTTCCCAAGCAGTTGCCACAGATCAACTCCAGATCAGAATGTCAAGGGGAGAGACACACATGGTTTAGATGGGGGCAGGGGGGAATCTGAAAACCAACCCTGTTTTCACAGGAGTGAGGCTTGGAACTAGGGATGCATTTATTTGTCTCCTAGCAGCTGTGAAGAACTGTGAATCTGGCCGCTTCAAAGCCAGCACAAAGGAGAACGCTGGAGAGATCTATCAGAGCTAGGGTTGCATTTGAACAGAGGCACACAAAAGCACTAGGGACGCGGGTGGCGCTGTGGGTAAAAGCCTCAGCGCCTAGGGCTTGCCGATCGAAAGGTCGGCGGTTCGAATCCCCACGGCGGGGTGCGCTCCCGTTGTTCGGTCCCAGCGCCTGCCAACCTAGCAGTTCGAAAGCACCCCCGGGTGCAAGTAGATAAATAGGGACCGCTTACTGGCGGGAAGGTAAACGGCGTTTCCGTGTGCTGCGCTGGCTCGCCAGATGCAGCTTTGTCACGCTGGCCACGTGACCCGGAAAGTGTCTCCGGACAGCGCTGGCCCCCGGCCTATAGAGTGAGATGGGCGCACAACCCTAGAGTCTGTCAAGACTAGCCCATATGGGCAGGGGTACCTTTACCTTTACCTTACACAAAAGCACTGGGGTGAAACAGCATGGAATTGTTTGTGGCCTAGCAAGTGGGAAGTCAAGTTTGGACAGGGAAGAGGAATTGGGCTTGGGGGACCTGGAATAGCCAGAACAAGGCTGCAGCGTAGCAAGAGAAGGCTAGATGCCTCAGCACAGAGGTGTAAAAAGAGCAAGAGGGATGATTTCCGTGCTTGGCTAAAGTACTGTTAATGGCACAATATTTATTTATTACATTTATGCACCAGCTTTATCTTCCAAGTAGCTCAAGGTGGTGTACATGGTTTTCCTCCTCCCCACTTTATCCCCACAACAACCCTGTGAGGTTAGGTTAGGCTAAGAGGTGTTGTCTGGACCAAGATCACCCAGGGACCTTCATGGCTGATTTGAACCCTGTTAACTTTGGCTGCATGAAGCCCACAGAATTCTAACACTCAACATGAAAGGTAATCTACCCTCATATTTTGGTGGAAATAGGACCCTTAACTGGTATTCGAAGGAGGCAATCATTAAGATGTACTGTTTTATTTATATATATAATCTAAAATATATGAAGTGCTGCACAAAACAAACAGATTTAGAAAGACAGTACTGTACTTTAATAATGGCCATTCAGCCACGTTTGGGCTAACTGTACCAAGTGCAGTTCTCAAAAGCAGTACAGTGGTACCTCAGGTTAAGTACTTAATTCATTCCGGAGGTCTGTTCTTAACCTGAAACTGTTCTTAACCTGAAGCACCACTTTAGCTAATGGGGCCTCCTGCTGCTGCCACGCCACCAGAGCACAATTTCTGTTCTCATCCTGAAGCAAAGTTCTTAACCTGAGTTACTATTTCTGGGTTAGCGGAGTCTGTAACCTGAAGCGTATGTAACCTGAAGCGTATATAACCCGAGGTACCACTGTATTGGCAATTGATCCAAACAGAGAAAGTTACTTGGTGGAACAGCTTCCAGCAAATGGAACCTGGACCTTTTCATTTCTTTTGTTTGCAGGAAATTAAACCGTCAGGAACACGTATAAGCCAAAGTAAACAGCAGCAGCACCAGAGGAAGCGTTTTGAGAAATTAGTCTAACGAAGAAAGGACTTCAAAAGGCAGCTGTACCTGGTTCACTCCACAGGAAAACATGGTAAGTAAATAACCTAGCCGCAGAACACAAGCCATATAAATATATTATATATTTTGCTTACAGCAAGTCTTTTCATGTATTCTTCCCCAAGTGTAAGCTTTCATAAAATCCATAATTTCCTGAAACCCTTTCAATGAAATCGCTGCACAGACATTCAAAGAACAAAGTGCCCTGAGTGTACCTACGAACAGGAGCAGCAGCATAAAGGACTGTGCAGAGATGAGCTGCCCTGTGTGCTGTCTGCAAACTAATCCAAAAAGCATGACACAAATGCCTAAGGGGCATCATTTATACTAGTCAGTTGAGCTAAAACCAATATTATGCACAAATCTGTCCACGCACCTAACCACTTGTGGCAGTAAGCAGAGGCTTGCATATCCAACGAAAACATACCCTCCCACTCCCATTCAACTTCAAACCTTTGAGAGAAAATATCTCTACTAATTGAAAATTAATGCTTTTCGTAAGCATCCATAGCAAACAAACAAAGAAAAGATAAAATATTCAAGGTTTCCTAGTTGTGACCTGTTTCTAAGTTCTAGCAATTTTTTATCCTAAGACCAGTACAAACTGGAGTAGCCATTAATTGACAATTCTTTTTTATTTTATTTTTACAATTTATTGATGTGGCTGGGGTTGTAGCCGAGCAACACCTCAGGAAAGCCCATACACCTCAAGCTGAGATATTTTTCTCTGTAGAGTGAGAATGATAAACTCATTCTACCTTACAGGTCTGTTTTTTTGGTAATGATTACTAAAATGATTTCAGGGAAACACATCAAGCACTTAAGGAAAACCACTTTTCAAAATATTTAGGATATTTATTAAAGCGTACAGTAATTGCAAATCTGAGTGTGTATTCATCACACGATACAACGTGATCACAGGCTTCATAATATGATGCAGTAAGTATGGATACAGTTCTGAAGACACTCTCTATTAATTGCTTTCCAGGGCTCGTGAAAATATCCGCTATCTTGCTTTCCCTGCAGTTCTAATGTTTTTAGATGCGTGCCAATAACCCAGTGCCAATGGTGCGAGTAGAAATTGCATCTTTTATTTGCAGAGACAGGAACAGGAGTCAAAACAGTAAGAGTTCTGTTGTAGAGCCAGTCTTTTGGTACCTATGACAATTAGTTTAACTGGAGCTGCCAGACATACTATCCCGTTTATTGGGCAGAATGGAGTTCTAAAAATTGTGATCAAAGGACTCTACGAGGAAACAAGCTGTCATCTAGACAGAAGTATATTAAATCTGGCAACAGCAAAGACTATCTTTAAAAGGGAAAGCCCAGTTCAGGTTTCCACACGTTCATTTTTCAAAAGCAAGGGCAAGACTCTCCACTGTCTTCTGGATGAGATGTCAAAATTTGCATTTCAGCTAAAATGTTTTGAGAAGGTCAGTGTATTGCATCCCTTAGGTATAAACTTCAGACTCCAATGAAGAGGTATACTGTTTCCCACTTCAAACACATGGTCTCTGACAAATGACAGAAGAAACCATGGGGGATCTTCTCCTGCTATAAGGAAGTAAGGCAAACTTTTTGGTCCAGTTGATTGTTTTATTCTTTTTATAGCAGAAACAATTTTTTTTTGGGGGGGGGGAGCTTTACCTTTGGCCTGTGTTAGCTTTTGCTAGTTATCACCCCAGTCACCGTGCTGGCTTATAGCTGGGATTTATTAACTTTATCAAAGAAAAGAACTCGATCGATTCCTGCAACTCTGCAAGGCTAAACACTCCAAAGGTCTTCTTATAGATCAGAGCTTGTGTTGATCCAGAGGTGCTCTATAAAACTTTAAAAGACTTCCAAAGTCTTTACATGACATTGCAATTGTGCTAAAAATAAAAATGAGCAAAAACTACTCACGGCGCAAACAAGGACTTTTCATTCTTACACATGGGGTGATTTGCTTTCCAAAGCAACTTGTTGTTGCTGTCATTATTATTCACTTTACAGATTGGCATCAAGGGACAAGTCACAACTTGTCACAGTGTGAAACAATTCATGCAGATGCCGGATCATCCTTAATGTTTAAGTGGTTTTCCTGATGTTGCTAAAATGTGTTGATCCAGGTGGGCATCTCTTCATACAGTATCACATGACAACTTTTCAGACCGGGAGTTTTCCCAGTTCCACTGTTACCTCCTTCAAACGTTCCTCAAATAAAGTAAGGTGGGTAGCAACCAAGGAAGAGGCCTTCTTGGTGGTGGCATCCTGCTTGTGTAATTTCCTCCAAAAGAAAACCACTCAGCGCAATATTATATTTTTGCAATCAGCAAGGAGGTTTTCATTTCCCTGAGCTATGAATACATTGTTATTTCAATTGTTTCATTTTATTATGATTGTGTAGTAAATTCATCCATGACCACTGGTCCTGCCAGCTGGGGATGATGGGAGTTGTAGTCTACCAACATCTGGTGACCCAAGGTTGAGAAAGGCTGTTCTGGAGCAACCAACTTTTTATATTGAATGGGACAGCTCAATAGAAATAATGTGTACACTGCAGCATAGCTGGCTGCTGAAATTACAGTATTGTTTGGTTTTTAAAGAACTATACTCGTTTCAAGTGTGAAAAAAATTATCTCCCCATACCATTTGCAGTCAAAATGACATCTGGACCTATTTCAGTTCATGCTAGATGTAAGGTTGGTGCCTGACATGTGAAAGGCCTTAGTTGTATTTTTGGGTGCATATGAAAAACCTATTTATTTAGCAAAACAATGTTAATACCTAGTGAAATGTTACACTTTTTTCTGCTGTGGTTTGTAATATTTATGATTTTAATGTATCATACAAACTGCCCTGGAATTTGATAATGAATGGTGGTATACAACAATTTTTAATTAAAAAATAAGTTTGTTAAAAGTTGCAAATGAATACAGATCCATCTTATTTATTAACATTTATATTCCATTTTTTCTGTCCAAAGTAGAATCTTCAAAGTAGCTTTTAAGGATCCAGTCATATAACACAACCCTGCACAACTTTTACCCATCAAACCTATGTATGGCAGCCCACCAGGGGCATTACTAATCTGCCTGACCTGAGTTGCAAAAATCAAGGGATGTTGTGTAGCACTTGACAGGCCATAATGCATACCTGGTGGATTATGTTTGGCTTATTAGTGGGTCTGTAAAACAAACAACCCTGTGCAAGAAAGCTCAGGAAAAAATGCAAGATGAAATGGTGGTTTAATTCTTTCTGAGAGAGAGAAAAAAAACCCTAGAAGGTAGCTAATCGCTATTTATTTTGGACACCCTTGGGGGAAAAAATCACAGAGCTTCTGTCTTTCAATCAGTAATAAAAGCTTGCTTTTGTTCAGACAATTGCAGGAAGGTGAAATATTTTGAAAACCAAGATGTACCTATGGCATCTTGATTAAACATATGGAACACATAGTAAATGAAAAGCCAAGTGGAGTCCAAGTTGAGTAATCAAAACACCCAAGTTGAGAGGGGTTAACATGCAAGGATCAGCGCTGAACTTTGAAGTTCTCTAGTTTTCATTTTTCCTAATTAAGATGAGATTTAATAATCAAACCACTGTACAAACTATGTACTTAAACTCAAGGTTGTGTTTTTAATTTGGTTGGGAATTCTTAAGAGATTCCAAGAAATCAGCACCCATTGGGGGAAGTGTTCCCTAGCAAGATTGGTTCCCCTATACTTTTTATTTTTCATTATGTTTCCTTTCATGTGATTGCCAATCACATCCACTGCCATAATGAAGAGATTCTGTGTCAGAGCCCTAGAAATTTTTAAATAACTTGCCTATGGGAATAGGCATAGCAGATGTTGAAATCGCTAAGGAGATGTATAAAATACCTGACAGAATAGTCTGTCACCACAGTAAACTATGACATAGGCCAACTAAACATTGGCAGTTATATACATGCTTAGTCCCAACTAATGTTTATAGTTGGTTTGTCTCTACATAAAAATTTACTTCCAAAATTTCAGAACAAGATCTTATGCGACTAATTTAAAGCTGTTTGGTAGGAAATATTGAAAATTAAAATGGCTATTGTTTATGTGTGTGTTTTTAGTAAGATGAGATATGGCTTATATCTTAATAAGATGAGAGGTGAATGATCTTTCTGTCCATGCATGCATTCTCGTTCCTCTCAGCATGCTTGAATGCCACTAGAAATCTTCAATTAACCAAAGTTTCCCATTTTCTGGTTTGGATGAAAAAATAAACTATATTTCATTGACAACCTTTACACTGCATTCATGCAGGCAGTGGAAAAGCGGCCAAAAGGGTTTGTGTTTGGAGGTAATAGTCTTCATGTTTCAGTTTACTAAACTGTGATCCTCAAAACTGACCTATAACCTTGAAAGTAAAAGCTGTTAGCTCTGCTTGGTCAGTTTGCAATGAAAGCTTCATAATTTTATCTGTGATAACGGAATGAAAAGTTCAAATGTGAATGAGCAATGGCTGTTTAGAAGTCTTGGTAAATTGAGCAATTTACAAAAAGCCCAACAATTACAAAGAGGTCATTAAAAGGAACAATCTGGGTATACAAAACAATACTTATTTCAATGACATAATGAAAAATAGCATGTACTTGCAGTTTGATGCAAGAGACCTTCTCTGGGAGTTGGTTTGGCAAACATTTTTTTATCAAACCGCTTTTAATATAAGCAAACCTTACTGTAAACTGGCATGCAGGGCTTTCCCTTTTTCTTCAATGGCATGTACACTGCACAAACACCGTATTGTGTGTTAGGGTTTTGAATGGCATACTTACTTTGTTCATGTGGATCTGTTGCTGATACTGTTTTTGCTTCTCCAGAAATTGCTGATGCTGTTGCTGAATAACAAGTTGTGCCAAGGTGCTCTGAGGAAGCGGAGCGGATTGGGTCCGATTTAGTGGCCTGTGTCTAGGTAACTTATGTGCAACTCTTAAGCCAGGTGAGACTCTTTCTTTTGTTGCCAGTGGAGACTGAGGATGAAGAGGCACCCCTCCTACAAGCCAACAACATTCCAGTGTTCAAATATGCCCATCAATAACATTGAGTCGTCTTCTTAAGATGCTCCATTGAAAACCAAACCAAACATGAAGGGACATGTGGGGACTGGAGAAGCTTAGGAACTGAAGTGTGAGAGCCCTTGAATTATCACACTATAAGGAATGCTCTTCCATATGTCTTTTTTTAAAACAACGACAACAACAATCACAAATTAGAGTAATAACTAATGAAGTGACAGCCATGCTTACATATTCTTAACCATCCCACTAATATATATATTTTTAATCAGCAGATACAAACCAATGGGCTTTGTAAATCATGGGGCCAGAAAATAAAAGAGCAGAACAGCTTTGACTTGAAAGCAGAATAACAATGGACAGATTTTTTTTCCTCCTTAGGGGAACTGGCAGTGAGGAAACAGGGGATGAACCAATAGCTAAGGCGGATTGGAGCCTAGGGTCCCTTACACAATACCATTGCTATGGGAGAGGGGCTAGCTAATTTTTTTGCCCCGGGTGAATTTTCCAGAGGGGCGCCGTTGAGGCTTCCAGCCTGTGTGTGTAGGCAAATGTGTGTGGGTGGATGTGCCAAATTGGGTCTTTGACCCGGGTGAAATAAAGCCTAGTTTCACCCCTGCCTTACACCCTTGGCAAGCAGCTGTATCAGCATGCACACACACATCAGAAGAAGAAGAAGAGTTTGGATTTGATATCCCACTTTATCACTACCCTAGGGAGTCTCAAAGCGGTTAACATTCTCCTTTTCCCTTCCTCCCCCACAACAAACACTCTGTGAGGTGAGTGGGGCTGAGAGACTTCAAAGAAGTGTGACTGGACCAAGGTCACCCTCAGCTGCATGTGGAGGAGCGGGGAAGCGAACCCAGTTCCCCAGATTACGAGACTACCACTCTTAACCACTATACCACACTGGCTCTCGGGGGAAAATCACCGCAATATTACTATGTTTTATGTGACCCAAGTACTCAAAGTGTCTGAAGGGAGGGTGAGGCGAGGCGGGAGGGTGAAAAATATATATGCACGCCTCTGTACCATGATGTGAGAAGGATGGGAAGCTTCTCCCATATTTGATCTTGCCAGGATAGCGGTGGTGTGTTGCCACACACATATGCATAATATTAGGGCTGATATATGTCTGGGATTTGTCCGTTGGAAATAGCATCTGGGCGGAATTCCAAAAATCACTAAAACGTCTGGGGAAACCCGCACGTATGGCAACCCACACATGATTTTTGTGCTCCCCGCTCCGACAGGGCTGGTTTTGCCAACCTCTAGATATGCCTTTGTGTAGAAGATTCCATCTCCAATCCCTGGCATTTCCAGTTAAAAGGACCAAGTAACCAGACCTTTGGCTAAGACCCTGAAGGCTGTTGCGGGTCAGACTTGACAAAATTGGACTAGATGGACAAGCAGTCTGGCTTTGGTCTAAAGGAGCTCCTTATATTCCTTTATAACATGTTCATTCTCAAAAAGGAAGAATCTGCCCATAAATAGTCACTGCTAATTACCTGGAGCCAGGAGTTTCTGCTGCCTCATTTGTTCCTTCAGTAATAAATGCTGGAGGAGAGCTTGGTGGCTACTGTTAGGCTTTCCTTCTAGGACAATTGGCTGAGGGGCAGAAGGTGAAGAGATGCTTCCTCTGTACTGTCCTGGCAAAACTACTCCTTGCCTGATTGTCTGGGTCTCACACTTCTGTTTTTCTTTGAATGGCGCTGATGCCTGTATCAATGAAAATGATTGTTAAACAAACAAAAGAAGTCCAGAGAATAAAGGCTGATGAACCAGTATCAAACTAGTTGACAGTAACTCACTATTTCCACAGCACAAACTAAGGTTGGAGGTCAGTTGAGACCCTGGTCTCCAGGAAACATCTAAGAAATGATGTGCCTATGAGGCAGTGCATGATTTGAAATGCAGGTGGTTAAGGGTTGCTTAACCCTCCTTGCATGCTGCCATTTCTCTTTTGTGTTCTTCTCTTATAACAGCCACTTATCTCCCAGGTGGACAACCATGTCTGAAAAGCTCAGCTTAGAGAAAAGCAGTGGGAGGAGAAACATGAAGGATAACAGGGAGACCTGTTGGTCTGTTGTGTCCTTGAAGATTTAGTTTGGAGTATAACATGGGAGTAGCCAACACGGTTGCTCCCAGATGTTGTTGGGCTACAACTCCCATCATCCTTGCCCATTGGATTTGCTGGCTGGAGTTGATGGGAGCTGGAATCCAAACACATCTGGAGGGGGCATCATGTTGAATATTCCAGGTGTGACAGAATGAAAACTTTGTATGGATTTTTAAAGAATGCACGAACAGCCCACACTTAAATGACACACTTTTAATGTAAAATGCACATTTATCGATTTATGAATTTGCTATTTCTAGATTGTGCATGTGTATGTGTGTGTGTGTGTGTGTATCATTGGTGGTATAAATAAATGTATAATCCAACTGGAAATTGCATTCCAATCCATAAGCAAGTTCGGAAGCATCAGGTTGAGTTGGTCTGCTGAGAAAAAAGTGAACTTCTCTATCCCTACTGACCACAGTGAGGAATACTTTCACCAGACAATCTGTGTGTCTGCCCAGTCTGCTGTCTAAATCTTGAGGGATCCCTGTTCTTTCTTATGCTTCTTTGTCTTTAAACTGGATTTGGACCAGACAGTCCTTCAAACAGAAGACTGACCTCTCACAGCCCTTCAAAAAGAGGGTTGCCATCAGTAAAGACAAAGGACCTCCCTATCTGGTACAAAATTTAACAGTAGCATTGCCTAGAACCAGTCCAACATTGTCTTGAAATAACTTCCTGAGAGAACATTATGCAATCTAAAAGAACTGATATACCTTGAGTGATCCATAGCCAAAGCCAATGCAAATACCCCCTAAATCGATTACTTACACTGAGTTGTGGTTGCACGGCTGGAAGTCCCAGAGTGATGTTGGGCAAAGAAGGGGATGTGTAGAGACTCAAAAGGTTCATTGATTCTTCACTGATGCAAATGTGTTGTGGTGGAACCAAATGCTGTGGGGTGGGGTTAAAAAGAAAGAAAGTCACATGTTGACTAGCCAAGTTTATTTCCACAATTGTGCCATGGAAGCAAAAGGAAAGTATTTCTCCTTTGTGTTAGTCACGTATCCTTTATAGTCAACTAACGTATCCTGCTAAAGCTCTAATAGTAGAGGAAATTGCCCAAGTTAGTGACTATCATTGCCTGCTCTTAGAGCAAGGCAATGCTAAAAACCAGAGAATTAACCTTTTTGTATTAAAAATGTATTTCACTGTTTATTAACCATTTCATAAAACATATGGGTATGTGTGGCATTGAGAGAGATCATATCCTTGCATTGATAGTAGTTTAAAAAGAACAGCAGGTTCACTTTTACCCTTTTCTTCTCTGATGTTCACATTCTTCAACATGTGGTCTGCTATCGTTTCTTAAATTACCTCTCTTTTTTCTTGTTGTTTAACTCCTGCCTCCCTCCCAGACCCTTTGCACAATAAGAGCTACAAAAGGTCTTATTAGACTTCGGAACTCTGGCATGATATAGTCCTCAAGGGAACAACATCCTTGAAAAAGAATACCCTCTGTAACAGTATGACACAGTGACTGCTTTCTTCCCAAACAAAAAGCATATGGGACTCCAATAATAGACCACCTCCACGAGGGATCCTGTGCACTGAGGCTTTGACCAAAATAAATATAATAACTTGTCAAGCATGTTGTGGGGAGCTGTAGATTTTCCTCTGGACAAACCTGGGATATCAATTAACGTTGGAAAATGCCTTGGGTTAATACAATGCAACCTCAGACTGTCACTAAAGAGCTGGGCAGCGTGAAAACACAGGATGTTATTCCAAAACATAACCTTCCCCATACAGTTTGTTTGGAGACTAAACCTATCGCTGACATAATAACAGAATAGTCTATATATGTCATTCCTTTCCTGCCCCAGCATTGTAGTAAACTGAATGAGAATCACGCAAAAATAAAGATTTGATATTTTTGTTACACAAAGAGCTGCTTTTTACATTTTCCTGATGTCCTGATAACCTGGAATTGCCCTGAAAGCATCCAACAACATTAAATGTTTTCAATCATGTTTGTGCGATTTTTTATTTTTTTTAAAGAAGAAGCCTACTGTGAGATAACTAGTTAAGGGCTTTGTTTGGATGTGAAAACTTCCAACCTCCATTATGCCATCTACATACACTTGTTGCAACCAGTTAAGCTTTGGAGTTAACCTTGTGGAGAAACAAGGATGAATTAACATTGTAAAAAGGGTGGTATATAAGGATAGGCAGATCTATCAATTTCATTTTCTCTCATTTTTCTAGTCTTAAGTTCTCCAGATTTCCCCGTAAATTTCCCGTCTTCATGAAAATTAATAAGCATCTTAGTGTGAATTTATCCTAAAATGCACATTTTTGTACACATTTTTGGATGTTATTTCCACCATTATATGCATCTGTATGCACACTTTACCCTAGCATATGTAAATTTTTGAACATACGGCATTACTCGGCTGGAGAACTGCATTGCAAAATCTGGATATGTGTGGCTTTCAAATGATGGCTGTTTCAGTTTCTGACTGTTTCGAAAGATGGAATTCTAGATGCTCACCTTTAAATGCAAGCGGAATCCATTTCTGCCCCACCCCTAGTGACAAATTCTTCTCTTATGCTTTAGAACATTGTGCACCTCCAAATTTTAGGCATACAGAATATGTAACATCTTTGTAATGCTAACGATGAGCAACTGAATATTATGTTGCTCATTGTGAAAGTGACACTCTGTGCAGAATGTCCCAACATTACACAACAAGAAGAACATGAGTTAGGCTGGATCATGAGGTGGGGAGGACTCAATAGCATGGTGGTGTTTTTTATTATTATAAATAAACCATTTAAACCTATTGTTAGAGATGTTTCTTCTGTGTCTGATTTGATAGCTAACCTTTGTGAGCCAGCAGCCAGCAGCCAACGTACAACTTGAACATTCTTCATTGTTTGGTTACTCTTAAATAATCAAAAGAGCCCCAGCTCAAATCAATCATACTGTCCCTTGGAAAAATGTTTCAGCCCACAGGACCACAACACTAACCATCAAGTAACTAGATAGTGGGAATGGTACATCTCAGATGCAGGGTTACCACAACAATTTCAAATGTGGTTGTGGGTAAAGAAACTGAGGACATGAGAGCACCAAAACTATTCCCACTATCATGTGCTGTCTGCTATCCTCACACACATTTGCCCTATTTCCATCTCACTGAAATGGCACTGAAGCCGATAACATCACCTGAGAGTTTCTCAGTAATAAATTATTGCTTGAGAACTGAAGTGTCTATGGTTAAAAATGCTGAGAAGTATGCTAACTATGCTGTTAACATTACTGGACCACTTTTCAAGTCATGTAGTGCAGTTTGATCTTATTTCTAGCACAACAAACTGCTGCTGCTACTGATCTAAATGTGCTGGCTGCTTTTTTAGCTATTACTCATGGCAATATACAGCTTTGAAACAACCAAGCATGAAAATGACACTTAAAAAATAGTACTGTGTAATACAAAGCTATGGCAAAGGAGGAGTGGTTTTGTAAGTGTCCTATGACAGCATCATTTTTAGAAGTCTATTCTAAGCCCATCATATATAGGATTTTAACAGGTTACATAAAACTTGTGCAGGGCTGGCCAATGTGATACCCTCCAGATGCTGTTGGGAGTCCAACTCGCATCAACCCCAGCTAGCATTATAGTCAATGCTCAGGGATGCTGGAAACTGTACTCCAGCAACATTGGGGGGGCAGCATGTTGACTCCTCCTGGTCTAGTGAGAACCCTGATGAGGGAGTTCCCTAATTCTGACAGCATTGTGGAAAAGCCCTACTCCACATGCAGCCACTGTGATACCCTCCAGATGTTGTGGATTATAACTATCACCCCTGAGCATTGACCAGGCTGATTGAAGATGATGGGAGTTGTTGTCCAGAACATCTGGAGATCACTATGTTGGCTACCCTTGCTATACTCCCCTCTTCTGCTCAAAATGCTAGATCACTGAGCAGAGTTTCCCCTGAAGACCTTAGTGTCCAAGATGGTTCATATGACACCGTAGCATTATTTTATTGCCTGACGCAAACTTTGTGAGCTGACAACATCGAAGTATGGATTAGCCACCCTGTTTTGAAACTCTACACAGTCTGAACTTCCTGGAATCCTGCACAGAGGATTATGAGTCAAGCTCCCACATGTTTGCTATCAATGTAGTCTTTTAGGGAACGGGGTTGTTCTGGGCCAAAGAAAAGCTACTTATCAGTGTGAAGAGGTCACACGCCTGCCCCTTGGATCAGAGTTCACACACACAATTAATTCATTATTAGGGAAAGTCACTGTTGGAGATTGAACTGGGCTTTTCAGTCTTCAGGGGTTACTGTCCTGGCAGTGACCTGAAGAAATTATCCCATTAGCCTTATATCTGACAAATTACTTTCCCTTATGTTCTTTTTTTAAAATCAGAAGATCCACACATAGTTTCCATGCAATTAATAGGATTAATGCAATGCAATACAGTACCACGTAATTACATGCTGATGTCATAATAAATGTGTTAAGTCTTTAAGGTGCCCAGAGTTTGATGCAGGTTTGAAGCTGCACATGGCAATCATTTCCTGCATGTTCAGTATTATCGATTAAAGATATTATGGCCGTTAAAAACCTCACGTAGTTATGCTATATTAATAGTGCAATCCTATAAGACTTATTTTGAAGTAAACCTGCTGAGCTTGTTAAGATTGACTTCTGAGTAAAACTGCAAACTCTATGCACATGGATAGCTGCAAAAAAGTATTCTGAATGCTCTGTGTAAGAAGATCACAAGGAAGGTATATCAGTCAAGGCAACAGGCATACTATAAATAATATACAATACACATAATAGCTGCTTTTCCTGTTAAAAGGTAAAGGTACCCCTGCCCGTACGGGCCAGTCATGTCCGACTCTGGGGTTGCGCGCCCATCTCGCTTAAGAGGCCGGGGGCCAGCGCTGTCCGAAGACACTTCCGGGTCACGTGGCCAGTGTGACGAAGCTGCTCTGGCGAGCCAGCACCAGCACAGCACATGGAAACGCCGTTTACCTTCCCGCTATAAAGCGGTACCTATTTATCTACTTGCACCCGGGTGTGCTTTCGAACTGCTAGGTGGGCAGGAGCTGGGACCGAAAGACGGGAGCTCACCCCGCCGCGGGGATTCGAACCGCCGACCATACGATTGGCAAGTCCTAGGCACTGAGGTTTTACCCACAGCGCCACCCGCGTCCCTTTTCCTTGTTAGTAATAAATTAATATTAAAAAGTAGTAGTGGTGGCAGCAGCAGCAGAAATAACAACAGAAGCTATAACATGCTATGGCATCAAGCAGGCATTTTCTAAGTGAAAACGTCAAGGTATGCCTGCCTATTATCAAGTCTATGATGACCAATCTATGAGAGCTAGGAACCTACCTTTTCTCATAATAAAATATTCCTCTTTCTAGTAATTCTCTAAGAAGTAATTCTCTAAGAAGGTATGAAGCTCTGTGTATATATTTAAGACACCCACTCTTTTGTGTGGTGCTCACACCTATTAAAACCTTTTAACCAACCTCTCATGTGGGGTGATAAAAAGCATGGGACTTTGAGAAAAGCAGTGAAGAACCAGGGGGGAAAAAACTGGGAGAAAGAGCAAAACCTTCCTCTGAATTGTTTGTTTTAATGGAATTAAGCCAGTATGGTACTCAATATGGTTCTCAGAAGGTTTAAAGATTGAAGTCTGCGTACTTACTGTTTACCCCCAAACCTAGATTTGTTCCACTATCTCACCCTTATTATTATATTATATTCCCCAACCTGGTGTTTTGAGCTACAGTTCCCACCAGCCCTGGTCACCTCAACCTGGGGTGATGGGAAGTGTAGTTCAAAATATTTGTAGAATACCAGGTTGGGGAAGGTTGCGTCACCCACTTGCTTCTATACATCTACGGTAAGGGAAAGTGTGAAGATATTAGTGGAAGAGGCATCTATTCAAGCTGCTGCTATTGTTGCTATTTTACCATAAACAAAGCTATGTATCTCTACAAAAAGATTATGGAACTGGGTACAACTGGAGGGGAAGAACAGATCTAGTAAGCAGCTGATGCTGTCAGACATGAGAACAGCAATTTAACACACTTTTCCGTTACAATTAACTAATTAATTAATATACTGATGGCATGCCAAAGTGGCTTCTAAGCAGCTGACAAGCATAAAATCAATTATAAGATAGCCACGCATAATTAAAATACACAATACAGCAGTCCCATCATAGCATTAAATACATCCAGAATTAAAACATTCAGTAAAGCAAATAATTGGTGCTAGGTTAAGACCTTGTCTGTCTGCTTAACAGGGCTATCCTAACGAGGGGACATAGAGGAACAACATGGCACATCTACTGCTATATCCCAAGTGCTGCTGGCTAATGCAAGAGGTGGGATTGCTTTGGGTTTTGTCTTTGATATGCCACTTTGGGGGAAAGCCACCAACATCTTATGTAGGGGATATATTACTACCACCCACTATGATGAAGCTGGGGCATCTGTTGCAGCCCCCCCACCCACCACAGGGTGGGTGGGTGAAGTTTGGGTTATCCATACTTGAAATAAATGAACAAAGCAAGTATTCTGAACTTATTTGAAGGCTGCAGGTATATACATTAAAAAAATTGCATGCAAGAACAATTATAGTGTTTTGGGGGAAAGTATGCTTTAACTCTATTTTAAAGGGTACACATTTGAACATGTACATTCCTCTAAGTAAGTAAAAGAGAAACGTTCTCACTACCAGCTAGTGATGACTGTGATGCAAATGCCCCTCTCTTTACAGATGTACTGTAATAAGATTACTAAAGTATAGTACATTTATACTTAGAAACAGAACACTTGCTACAATAAACTTCCAGAGAGTAACCAGACAAATTATTTTACTGCTTTTCAGTATGTACTGCAGGATAACAAACAATACGTTTAATCTAGACAGGAAATTACCAACATGAACCACAACTCAGTAAAGTCAAAGTACTAAACTGGCTGAAATCCAAGTAATTTGGGCTAAATGGGTTGGATGCAGCTCTGGCTATGTGTCAGTTATTGTATATATTTTTGAGTTGCATGCTCCAAATCTAGGCTCTCTGTTGTTCCTCCACACACTAAAAGCTTGTGTGCCCCCAAGGCAGCCATATTAAGAAATATTTCTATATTCTTCATTTAGTGTTCTGCTCAATTGGGGGCTCACATTTATATCAGAAATATTTTACTGCTATGCATCACAACTAAGGAAGAGCAAATATGTCAGTTTCAGATTCCAGTCTCAAGTTCAGTTCTCCATATTTCCACATCAATCTGTGATCTTTTGTAAAGTCCCCATGAAAATTCACCAGCATTTTAGTGTGAACTGCTCCTGATATTTTTCCTAATGTATAGTTTTGCAAAGCAATTTTTCCTAATCTTATACAAACATTTTGTATGCTGTTTTCACTAATATATGCATTTTAATGCACATCTTACCCCAATATATGCATTTCTGTACATATTACTTGCATTGTAAAATTCATGGAAGTGCAAATTTTGAAGCATGGCTGTGTTCCAGTTGGCATACTGTTACGCAAAGTTTTGTCTTTAAAGGTGAACTAAATCTAACTTCTCCCTCATCTCTGATCATAACATCTGACTTAAGCATCCGTGGCGTTGTCTAAAACTGCCCCTACTATCTGCTACTGTGAAGCATTAGACCCCAGTATTCTTAGATTTCTCATTTAAGGCCCTGTTACATATAACAAAAATCACCAAACTGACTGAGAATATGACTTGAGTGTATTCCCACCCAGCTTGACATGTACTGATTTTGTCATAGTTTTAACTTTGCACCCAACTTTTGGCCCAACTCGTAGTCAGGACAATGCCACTAGCTACCAGCAATAGTGCAGCATGCAAGTTAAGTGAGGAGCTGGCCAGCCACCTGAGCACTTTGCCACATGCTAGAAACTTGTTCATTGTGGTTGTGTGAGCTGCTCTTTAGTTCCATGTGCACAGATTTATATACCATCAGACCATGCTAACACAGCATTATTTCTGGGTTTTTGAATGACCTTCTTGGACATGACAGCTATACCTAGATCAAGGAAACGGTAGAAAGAGGGAGCATGTGTGTGCATGCAGGTCAGCTGATGATTATGAGTCGTCTCCCCCCCCCCCAGTCCCTTTTGGCTATAACCGCCTTAAGTCTCTTTTATATGTAACCCCTCCCATCTACTTTTCCACTTCCAGTCCCTTTCTTCCTTTGTCATTCTTCTCATGTTTGAGCATTAAGTCAGTGGCATAGCTTTTTCCAATATTGCTCTGGTGAAAACAATGGCGCGTACCCAGAGACTAGAGGAATTTGATCATTTTCATCAGAGAAGGTGAAAACTTGCAACCAGGCTGGCGTAAATCCCACAAGACATATATCTTTTAGGATTGTTCACAAGCTCCTCCCACTAAGAGTCTCTTGCCCCACCTTCCACTTTTAGAGGCACGTCATTCAAAAGGCATGTCAGCACCAGCGAATTATGCAGAAGTGTCTCTGCAGGGGACATGCGTTGTTTCACTATTCCATTTGATAATAATATTTAAGCCATTACTAAATTGGTCTAGCACCAGAGGCGTAGCGTGGGGGGTGCAGGGGGGGCCAGCCGCACCGGGCGCAACATCTGGGGTTAGGGCAAATCCACAGGTTAGGGGGCACAAATCCACGGGTTAGGGGCGCAAATTACTTGCCTTGCCCCGGGTGCTGACAACCCACGCTACGCCACTGTCTAGCACTCTTCCCTATTCTATTTCTCGTTGTCCTCTCTTCCTTTAAAGGGATAGCATGGGGAGAACTGGACCTACCCGTACGGTTCCCAGAGGTTAATGCGCTGACACAAGTTTTGTGTGCGCGCGCATTTCAAATTTTATTGAATGTTAATGTGTATTTCAATTTTTGTAAGCCACTTTGAAAGATTTTGTCATGAGCAAAAAGATGGGATAAACTTCTCAAAATAACTGAAATCAGGAAAACAGAGTTCTGTTGCAGTCTCCAACCAGTGTTCCCAGGTGCCAGTTCTATTGTTATTGCCTACTGGCCCAAGAGAGCTGATCAAGGCAGCTTGAGACAGAGAGTAGGGTTGGTGGTCAGCAGACAATATCCTTAGGAAGCTGATGGGGGTCTCCTGCTGTTGCTGCCCTTCCCCTAAGCCAGCACTCAAAAGAGCTCAGGGCAGCTGCCCTAGTAATTGCCCACAGGGTAACATTACAAAGCTGGGAAATTTCAGTGGTGACCACCATTGGAGGGTTACCAACCTCCTCCCGCTCTTATCCATCGGTAAGGTTGCTTACTCATTCCTACGCTAGTTGGAAACATGTAGGAGAGGAAGGGAACAGGCTAACATGCACATCCCACTGGGTGCCCCCTACTAGGAGGGGCACCAGAGGACTCCATGCCAAGGGCCCTCCCAAAGCTGGTGAAATGATTCCCAGGCCAATGAAGGGATTCTGGTCTTACCTCAGCTTGGGAATTCATTGGCAACACCGAGGTGTCGTTCTCTGTATTCCCAGCAGGGGCATTACTTGGTGAACTGGGACCTGAAACTGGTGAACTGCTACTGACCGATGATTCTGGGGGTAGAAAGAAGAAATAAAAATAAGTACACACAGTATTTTGGAAATATCAGCTACAGCAAACAGTGTATTACTACTACTACAACTACTTCCTGCTCTTCCTCTCAAAGGAATATAATATAAGGGTGGCATATAAGGCAACCAAGTTCTATTTGCAATGTATCTTTTTATTCACTCTCAGAATCAATTCCATGATTCTTCCAATAGACAAAGGGCACAATTTATAACTCAGGCAATTCTACCCCCTCTCACTGCTGCCTCAGAGATAGCAAGTTACTCAGCAGCAGGAAAATACTGAAAGGGAGTTACTAATGAGTAAAGGAAAAGGAAGTACCTTTGGCTGCATTCTCTGCTGCCTCTGTGAGAGATCAGCATGACAGAGATACTGGACACTCAAAGGTCATAATAACATGTCATCAATTCATGAGGCCTACTGCCATTCCTAGGCTGTTTGGATAAACCCCTGGAGGACTTCAGTTGTGAACCAGCCTTTATATGAGTAACTAATAAAAAACAATACCTCATTGGCAGTGCATCTCTGTCAGTGAACTCTGGGGGAAAGCATGTAGCTTAAAACATCTTAACGTGGCGTTTTCATGGTTATATCTTATTTTGTTTTGATGCAGTACATTTCTGCATGCTTTCTAAAGAATAAAGGGCAGTTTTCACTAATATATCACACAATTGTTTAAAGATGTGAGGTCCTTATTGCAGCTGAGGAAAACAACAGTTGCTGAACTTGGATCCATGTGGTCAGTCAGTAAAAATATCACCCTTACTATCAATTTTAATGCAAACTTTATAATGAAAAGCAAGTAAAAAGACCAGCTCATTTTCTACTCATTTATTGTTGCCCATTTTCTCTCTCTCTCTTTCACACCTATTCCTGACACTTTAGGGGTAGTGCAGGGCCCCCCTTAAAAAGTCCACAACATTTGTACCTTCAGTTGTAGTAAATCTGTGAAATTTACACATTTTTAAATCATATTACAGTGAACCGAAGCATTTCATACAAAGGAAGGATTTTTTTTAAAAAAAAACTGATTTGAAAATTTTCTGAACTATACAAAGGATTAAATCCTTTGATTTAAAATAGTTCATTTCCCCTCATCAAACTCAACAACCCTGAATGTGTATCTTATGGGATGTAGTGTTACTTTTTCCAGAGGAATAAAGAACAAAGATGACCACTGTTGATTTTATCCATCTGTCTGAGATGTCACACATTTCAGTTAACACTAGAAACTTTAGAAAAGAACCTTTAGAAAAGAACACAGAGCTCAAAAAACAATAACAACAATAACTGGTGATAACTACTGAAAGATTGTTGGTCATTTTTCTAATAAAAGGATGCTTTCATCTATCATTTAGTTTTGTGTAAACTCTGATTTTGAAAAAAAAAAAAAGATTTTCATTAATATCCGAAGAATTGAACACACAGAGTTCTCCTCAGCATTAACTTTAAGACATGTATATTTGGACTGACATTTCTAAATTATCTGCATCATCTGATTTAATTTACACAACACAGGGCAAAGAGTAAAGGTAGCCATGGCAGCCTGGAGGAAAAATCCCAAAGTCCTTATGAGGACAATATCTTTGTAGGGTCAACCAAAACATAAATAGTATGCAAGCTTTTGAGTTCCCCAGAATCCTTTACCAGGCTAGATGTTTAAACTTACCAGATGCAGACATGGCTGGTTTGACAAACACCAAAAACCATTTTTTGCCAGGAGCGGTCAGTGTGGTGGCGTGAAACTGCTCTTCCAACCACAGTGTCATTGTGGCTTCCTGGGACAGTGAGGGAACAGAAAAGGGCAGTGGCCTCACCCCTGCACCATCCCAGGAAGTAGATCCATGGCCCACCACACCAGCCGCTCCCTCTACAAGTTTCAACATATAGCCTGATGAAGAGTTCTGGTGAACTCAAAAACTTGCACTCTACTCTATGACAATTTGGTTGTCTCAGTAAAGATATTACTCTAGTATGGACTTAATAAACATGCTCATTTATAAATATGATGTTTCCCCCCAAATGTGAACAGGATCTCTCCGGTCCAGTCTTTCATTACCTGTCACCTCAAACAATCTTTTCTTGAAGGAGCAGACGGCAGTTCCATCCTTTCTCCTGAGTAAAGGGCTGCTTCTCCTTTCCGTCACCTTTTGTTTTAATCTGGAGCGAACTTTTAAGTTGGGCTCGGAGGCTGGGAATGGAGACAACAAAATATATCTTTATGATACAGAAAGCTAGAGGTCAGGAAGCGGGAATAAATAGTTTTTCTCCCTCTTAAATCATAAGCAAGTTGGCAAGTCAACTGCACAGTAGGATATCAGATATAAATAGTATTTATTCATAAGCATGTTTTACTCTGAAACTTTTTTTTTTTTTTTTGTATTCACCTTCACGACACCCTGCTGGGCGCTTCACTAGAGGCCACGTACTCAGTTCATGGCAGAGGTCACATATGACAAAAAAAGGGGGGGTCAAACTCCAAGATGCTAAATAATTATTTATTTTCAAAATCCCTGATGCATTTCAAGTAATAGCTCTTCATCAGACACAGTGCTATATGCCAGCTAACATCACGAGAGATTCATAGAATCATAGAATCATAGAGTTGGAATAGACCAGTGTTTCCCAACCGGTGTTCCGCGGCACACTAGTGTGCCGCGAGACGTTGCCTGGTGTGCCGCGAGATGCTTGCCTGGAGGGAGGCGGCGAGTCAGGCGGCGAGAGGCGGGGCGGCGAGGAGAGGGCCGCCCAGCGCGGGGCTCTCGCCGTCTGCCTGCCTGGCTGCCTGCATGGCGCTGACGTCACGGGGCTGTAACGTGCCCCACATAGGCACGACCGCGGGGCGGCGAGCGAAGCTCCCTCCCACATCCCATCGCCCGCTCGCCTTCGGCCGGCCTACTGGGCTGTCGCAGGCGAAGGCCTGCGCAATGGCGCGAGGGTTTTCGCGCCTTCGGGATTGCCCTTCACGCCTTCCTCCTCCCGGGTCCTTGAGAGCGCGGGAAGCTGGCCCAGCGCGAAGACCGGCGTTGAGCCTGGTAGGTATTGCGCTTGCCAAGGCAGTCATTTGGGAAATGAAAGCTTGCAAAGCAAGCAACCAGTTCAATCTGAAGTACGTGTATGCTTAATATCCTGTATCTGAAACCTGTTCTGCCCCCTCCCCCACACTTGGTGCCATTTTCATCTACACATGCAGCAGAGTAAGTTGACCCAGAATAGTACCAATTCAGATGGCAGATGGGAGAATGACAGTGCTGAATGCTTTCCCATGTAGAACAGTCCCTGCAAATAAAAACCTAGCATATTTGGAAGAGGGATGCTAGCCTAACCATTACCTTCTATGCTGTTACTATTTTTTTATTTTTTTTTACATAAGTAAAAAGTGACCTTTCCCCATCTGGCATGGTGGTGTGCCTCGAGAATTTTTTCATGAAACAAGTGTGCCTTTGCCCAAAAAAGGTTGGGAAACACTGGAATAGACCACAAGGGCCATCGAGTCCAACCCCCTGCCAAGCAGGAAACACCATCAGAGCACTCCTGACATATGGTTGTCAAGCCTCTGCTTAAAGACCTCCGAAGACGGAGACTCCACCACACTCCTTGGCAGCAAATTCCTGTAATCTCAAAGCAGCTTCTCATCTTAAAAAATGCTAACAAGACGTTTATTATTTTAAATCATAGGTAGCCCTGCACTTGTCCTACATACTGCTCCTGGTGTTTCCGTAAGCACCGTCCCAGGGTTGTATGGCAGGGATGGGCAGCCTGTGCCCCTCCAGCTGTTGTTGAACTCCCATCAGCTCTAGCCAGTATGCCCCATGGTTGGGGAAGATGGAAGTTGGAGTCCAGCAACATCTGGAGGGCCACAGGTTCTCCATCCCTGCTCTAAGGGGAAAAGGTAAAGGTAAGGGACCCCTGACCATTAGGTCCAGTCGTGGCAGACTCTGGGGTTGCGGCGCTCATCTCGCTTTATTGGCCGAGGGAGCCAGCATACAGCTTCTGGGTCATGTGGCCAGCATGACTAAGCCGCTTCAGGCAAACCAGAGCAGCGCACGGAAACGCAGTTTACCTTCCCGCCGGAGTGGTACCTATTTATCTACTTGCACTTTTTGGTGTGCTTTCGAACCGGTAGGTTGGCAGGAGCAGGGACCGAACAACGGGAGCTCACCCCGTCGCGGGGATTTGAACCGCCGACCTTCTGATTGGCAAGCCCGAGTCTCTGTGGTTTAACACACCGTGCCACCCGCGTCCCTCTAAGGGGAAAACTAATGAGTAAATAGGGGGTCTACGATAATTTCTCTTGATGTGTTTTTCTTTGGGTTAAAGCATTTGCAAGGTGGAGATCTGGCTCTGATTTCTGGTCCCAGGTAACTGGAGTTTAATCCTTCCCTGACATAACCATTTCCCTGACACATTGCATATCCCTGCCCACCCCCACCCCCTGCTATTAACTGTGCAGGTGGGGGAGAAGAGGAAAAGGCAATTGGTGGTGGCTACTGGCAATGATGGCTACGCTGTGCCTCCACAGTCAGAGGCAGTGTGGTTCTGAATACCAATTGCTGGAGACAGCAGAAGGGGAGAGGGCTCTCGTGCTTGCGTCCTGCTTGCAGGCTTCCCAGAGGCATCTGGTTCGCCACTGTGAAAAGGGGATCCAGGACTCAGTGGCTATTGGCCTGATCCAGTAAGCTCTTCCTATGCTCTTAAATACAATGTGAGTGCTTTTCTTCCACCCTCCCATGGTTAATGCTAACTTCAGGGAGGATTCCAATTGAAGAAACAGCAAGGGAGATGTTACCCGGGACAAGATCCCAATGCCAACTCTCTTCCCCACAGCTCCTTGTAAGGACAGAAAACAATATTGGCAGTCTGATCAGACATCTCCCACGTAACACCTAGTTCATCACCTTTCAACAGAAATGACCTGCTAAAAGTGCTTCATTTCACCAGTGACTTTAAAGCAGTTCTGCTTTTAATGTTTTCAGAACAAATACCTGCTCCCTAAGAAAACCTGCCCTATCAGCATGCAAAAGCACTGCACTATCACCAAGTTGTTTTTCTCTCTTTCAACCTATAATCCCACCTGACAATAATTACAATTTGCAGTGAAGTCATCTCTGGCGTCGACTCAATTTACTTGTAGGGTTATATTCTATTTATAGGTCTCCATGTTCCTCCAACTGCTGCAGTTTTCCATATTGGTGCCTGAATGATGGGATGTACTCTTCAGGGCCCGAAGAAAAAGCTCCTCACCATTTCACTAGGGAGAAGTCCCACTTGCCTCTGAATGTGTTTTCATGCCCAGCTGCTTTGATTGCCTTTCTATTTTTAACCACCTCCCCATCGCACTCTGCATTTCAATCAATAGCATAAACACAAGACCGCCTTTCTGTGGAGGACTGAATTTATGCTCCAGTGGAAAAGATAAACTACTTCCATTAAAGATGAAGCATCATAATTTAAATGAAAACTATTTCACAACAGGGGTAGAAATCAGATTCCTACCTCACCCCTTGCTGGAAGAAAGGAAAGAAATTAAAAACTTTACCAAATGAGAGAAAACACCTAGAATAGGAGTAAGCAACATGGTGCCCCCACCCACAGATGTTTTTAGACTGTAATCCTCACCATTAGCCATGTTGGCTGGGGATAATGAAAGTCCAGAACATCTGGAGGACTGCATGTTGCCTACTCCTGTCCTGAATATGTTCTCGATATACCTAGGACAACTGGACTAGAATGTAGTATGACTGTTTCAAACAGTACCTTGGTTTTTGTTTATTTATTGAATGCATATCTTGCAGGGAGGCAAACAACAAATGATTTTTTATATATATAAAAAAACCCTTTAAAACAATTCCAGTCCAGAGGCAGACTGGGAAGAATCTCAATTTAAATGCTTGTTGAAAAGAGGAAGGTCTTCAGTAGATGCTGAAAACACAACAGAAATTGCTCATGTCTAAAAGGCAACGGGAGGTGCCAGAATGCTAAGCACCAATTCCTATGCTGTGTGGACTGGACCTCCCAATAAGATGGCATCTGCAGGTGGCCCTCACCTGCACAGTGATGGACTGGGTATAGAAGGGGTGCTTCCAATCTGTATTGGGCTTCATACATCAAAACCATCACCTTGAACCTAACCGTGACCTTGATTTGGGGAGGAGGGCATCTGCAACATGAAGAAACTGACAGTAACTCTGGAGTTGTGGCGCTCATCTCACTTTACTGGCCGAGGGAGCCGGCGTACAGTTTCCGGGTCATGTGGCCAGCATGACTAAGCCGCTTCTGGCAAACCAGAGCAGCGCACAGAAACGCCGTTTACCTTCCCGCCAGAGTGGTACCTATTTATCTACTTGCACTTTGACATGCTTTTGAACTGCTAGGTTGGCAGGAGCTGGGTCCGAGCAATGGGAGCTCACCCCGTCACGGGGATTCGAACTGCCGACCTTCTGATCGGCAAGCCCTAGACCACAGCGCCACCTGCGTCCCTTTAGAAATTGACAGTAGAGGCCCACAAATATCTTTGTCACCAACTCTGTCTTCTCCATTGTCTGGTACGTGTAAAAGGCTGGGGGATTGAAGCAGGGATTTCTCTTATTTGTGCTGGGAAATGCTTTATAAAGATTGGATTCTGACAGATAACAGACTATCGTTCTCATAAGATTCCAGCAACAAAACAGTTCTTTGTATCAATATGATTTGCTTGAATTGCAGATCATGATTTAATGAACCTCATCAGGAAGCATGAGAAGGTATACTATTTAATTGGTGTACAAAAAAGAATCTTGCACAATGTAGTTTATTAAGGGTGTGGAGAATTTTAGCTCTATAAGGGAGAAACTACAACTCCCTGGATTCTTTGAGGGTACAGATTCTGCTCTGAATATATCTAGTCATAGTGAGCAAGCCCTTTATCTCCAGGCCATACACTCATATATAAGAAACTAGAGTTTTGGAAAACAACCTTTTATCATTACTTAAGATGATATTATAAATGAAACATTTAGCTTGTAGGCTGTACTTAAAAAATAGGACCATAAATGTCCAAATTACTAAAATTGGCCATGGCGCTTTTTATTGTGACATGCCCCAATTTCTCAATGATACCATAATTTGTGACAATATATTTAAGAAAGGTGATATGAGTACAGAACTTTGTGGTACATCCAGAGAGGGAGGGGGAGAAACCACAACTGGTGT